CTCTCTCTCTCTCTCTCTCTCTCTCTCTTACGGCAATGAAGTTAATGATATGGCCATGCTTGGATAATCGAGAATTTTGAGTTAGGGTTTCTTGCGTATTTGTTGAGGCCAAAGAAAAAGCATTACACAATTAATCAGTGAAATCACTGAAAATTCTCTGAAGTTGTCTTACATTTTAATTTGCTTAAGATCTCATGATAAGCTTGGAAGTGGTTGTAATTTTAAGAATGTTTAGATGAAAAAAAAACCGTCGGAAATAATCTTGCGATCGCAAGACTTTTCCTGAAGATTCCGCCGAAGGGTGCCGCTCGGGTGTAAACATCGGGAGAAATCCGATTTCACATTCATATCAATGAAGAATTGTCGAAATGATCTGATATTAGACAAAAATCTCGAGGTTTTTCGGAAAACTCCTTAATCAATAACAGTATGCTATAGAAACTGCGGTCTTACAGGTGGTCTTGAAGAGAGATCTAAGCTCGTAATTCCAATAAACAGTCTTAAAATTAGGTCCACGTTCGATCTTATCATGAGATCTTACGCAAATTAAAATGTAAGACTATTTCACAGCCTTGTAAGACATTTTACTGATTAATTGATAAATTGATTCATTCGTTAATTCGTCGATGCAAAAATTTGTTCCATTTTTAAATTAATGGTTTTTTGATAGTTTTGTATTAGAAGGGAGGGACATATCTGTGGAGATTCCTTAGAGGTGGACGGTTCTTATCAATGAGGAGATGGTTTGTATGCATGGTGTCGTATATGGGAGAGGGAGTTATGTAAGTGTGAAAATATACAAGGGTTAACACTAAGGGTCACAAAAATGGAGGTTAGAAACAAGGGTCAAAACCAAAGATCATAAGGGTTAGGCATGGAGTTCAGAAAGAAGGGACAGAAATGATCCTCAGGTATAGAGATAAAAAATGAGGGCCACAAATGAGGGTCGAAAATATACGTGAGAAATGAGTGAAAAAAAGGTCAGAAATAACGGTTAAAAAAAGGGATCAAATGGAACATCTAAAAAAGAGGAAATTCAATAAAGGTCGAAATTAATGATCACAAAGGTCAGGCTTACCCTTACTTGTGACCCTTATTTCAATTTTGACTATCATTTCTGGTTCCCACGCTTAACCCTTGTGATCTTTCGTTTTGACACTTATTTCCGACGTTATTTTCTGATCCTTTTGTGGCCTGTAACCTTTGTTTCTGACGCTTTCATTTTGTGACTCCTGGTTTCACCCTTACACCTGATCCTCTTTTTTTACCGTCTAGCTTAACCCTCGTGACCTTTAGTTTTTATCTCGGTTTCCGATGTTTATTTTTGACCCCTGTTTCTGTTCATACCTAAACCTTGTGGCCCTTCGGTTGGAATTATCTTTTCGCTAATGAAGTGTATTTTATCATTGAAGTATGTTGCTGCCTCTTTCTGCCAAGCAGATTTAACTCGTGGATTTAACTCATGCAAGAAAACATCTTTTCTTGCGCGCCGCAGGGAGAATAACGGAGTTCACTCATCGTATGAACTTCCACGGCAAAATACTGGTGGGACACCGGATTTCATTCGGATTTTTTTTCTCCAGGTAGTATCGCATCGTGTTGAGATCTTCAAACTGAAGATCTCGGTACGAAACTGGAGCCGAAAATTCAAAATTCAACAACGGTGATAAATCATAAATTTTTGGAAGAAACACAAGGAAAAAAATGAGAAAAGGCATAATGAAAGAGCATCAACGTCACGGCCGCTTGCGGCTGCGGCGATGCTAGTACATAAAATAAATGACCATTTTCAAGAATGGGCACGTATGAAAAAATTGAATAGAAAACCTTAGCGAATTTGCTAGAAAATTCTATTGAAATTCTTTAGAAATTTTATGCCGATTCCATTTAAATTCTAGGGAGTTTTCTTTGAAATTCAATTTGTTTTTTGTGCAAATTCTATTAGATATTTCATTGGAAAAAGTCAATAGATTTCGAATTTTTGTTTGAATTTTTCTCTTGAGATTTTTTCTATTAAAATTCTTGAACGCGGATTTTCTACGTTTCTTCGCTATATTTTGTTTTGCTTTGCATTACATGAGCCGAGCGAAACAACTTGCAAAATTCATGCCCAAGAATTCTGATTGAAAAAATTCCAAGAGAATATTCATATAGAAGCATCGAAATTGATTGGCTTTTTCCTATCAAATATCTCATAGAATCAGCGCAAAAAACAGATGAAATTTTAATGAGAATTCCCTGGAATGTTAATAGAATCTCAATAGAATTTCTAGAGAATTCCAATAGAATTTTCTAGCGAAGTCGTTAAATTTTTCTATTGAATTTTTTCATAACCGACACGGTGATCGAGTGGATATCAATCTTATGTTAACTGCCAATCTGTGTAATTCGTGGACTGGTTTTTACAAAGGACCTGTACTTTTCTTATTTCATTTAAGTGCACGGAAAAAAACATGAATTGAGTATATTAGGTGTACAAATTAATTCTCGGCCTTTTTTCGACATTTCTGACATTTATTTATAAAAGAATAAATACAGATCCAATCTCGAAAATAATCACCGTCACTTTGCACGCATTTCTTCCATCTATCGGGCAATTGTCGGATTCCGACTCGGAAGAAAGATGGTGGTTTTGACTGGATGAAGTCATCAATGCTCTACCGGACTTCTTCAGGAGCTCGAAACTGGGTATCCACCAGTTGATGTTGTAGTGCCCGCAAGGTCTGGAGAATACGCCGCATGTGGGAGAATTTCCCACCCAATGTGAAGATAACTCTCAGGGTTTCTTTTGCCATACACAACAATAATTTGTTCCCGTGAATGTTCGGTTTTGCAGTACTAGTTGACGGCTCCTCCGGATAAACCCACGACTTTCGCGTCTTAGGATTGTCGTAAAATATCCACTTTTCATCCCAAGTCACAATTTTATGTAAAAAGTCTTTTTGTTTGAATCTGGTCAGCAGGCACATTGTAGCAATTTCACAGTGTCGACTTTTGTTTTCTGAGGTAAGATGATCGGGCACCCAACGACCTTCGTTCCGTATCCTCCCAATTCCTGTTAGACGCACCGAAATAGCTGTTGAGTCACTCCAAGAGTATCAGCAAGCTCCTGTTGAGTTTGACAGGGATTGTCATTGAGTAAGTTATCTAACTTCTCGTCCTCAGCTTTTTTTGGTTGCCCAGGACGTTCCTCATCCTGAAGATCAAAATTTCCATCCCGAAATTTTTTAAACCACTTTTTACATGTGCTATAACATACAGTACTCCCTCCCAAGGCCGAACGAATCATTTCCTGTGCTTCTGCGGAAGTTTTTCCAAGTTGGAAAGTGAAAAGAAGAGAAAAGAAGGCTGTCTGGGTACGCCGAAATTATGGAGAGGTAAACTACTATCTGTGCCGAATGCTTTGAGGATACGAGTGCTTCCGGGCTTATCTTCATAAATATAAATATGAAGATTCCTCGGAGTGCCTCATCTGCATAGAAGTGGACGAGAATGCAGAGCATGTGTTTGGTATATGCCCCCGCTTCAGCGAAATCCGAAATAATTGGAAGTCTGAGCTGGGAAGGGAGGTCTTACCCGAAAATTTGGTGGAAGCAATGCTGTCATCGCAGGCAGCCTGGGACGCAACAAGCAACTTTGCGGCAGTGGTCATGAAGGAGCTCAGAGGTGAGGAACGTAAGCGCAATAGTGCAGATTAAACGAGAAATCTACTGGCACTTCCTCCCCGCACCCAATATCTTAGCGGGACAGAGGAACGTACATTGGATGAAAACAATGTGAAAGAGCTAATCGCTGAGACCGTCCTCGCGAAGTAATACTTAACGGTGTCGCCACGGGGGATTAAAAGATTAGTGAATTTATCTGAATGGAGTTTAGTCGGTATTGGTCGTTGTGAACGGAGCCCAAAATACCCCAGTAATCGGAGAAAATCTCGTATTCTCTCCCTTAAGTGAGGATGCATAAATGCATTCTCCCAACCGACATTTAAAAAAAACAACACACACACACACACGCACACACACACAAGTTGCATTAACCCGCATCGATTGAAGATAAAAAATATCAATTCGCATCATTACTTTGGAAGAAGTAGCGGAATATGTTTAAAAAAAGCATCTCTTGCCTCCAGTTGTAGTACGGATGTCAGCAACGCCATCGCACACTCGGACTTTTTCGGAGACGATGGCGAAGGACACCGAGGCGGAAGAGTCGGAAACCCTAACGCCTAATTTCTGGGACATTGTCATAGGAAGGCGGGGGAAGCGTACCTCACCGAAGGTGGACGCTAAATCCATGAAGAAGCGGAAGGAGCAGGTAGCACCATTGCCGCCGAAGTCGAGAACCCAGCTTCCTAAGACGTCGGAGTGGCAGGAAGCCAAAGGGAAGAAGAAGAAGAAGAAGAGGAAGAAGCAGCCTACAGAGCAGGCCCCACAGCCGAAGAATCGTGCGGCAAGACCTGACGCGCTGATCATCCGCCCGAAGGACTACGAGTCATACTCCGACATTCTCAAGCGAATGAAGCAGGACGCGATAACCGCTCAGTCCCAACAGTGCGTGGAAAAGAGCCGGAGGACGGCTTACGGGGACATGTGGATCATGCTCTCGAAAGAGCACACCCTTATGGGAATGAGATATATGCAGCACTTATATCTAGCATATATTTGGCATACCACATTTTTAGCTGAAAATATATCTGAGATATATTGCAGATATATGTTAAATATTTTACATCGAGATATATGTGCATATTTATATCTAGGATATATGTGGCATATGACATTTTTGGCCGAAATATAAGTGAAATATACTGAGATATGTGTCCGGATATATGTTATTTCTACGAGGGCACCGACAAAGCTTCCAGCCTACAGAACGCCATAACTGAACTCGTCAAAAATGATGCGGAGATCCTCAGTAAAAGACCGAAGGAAGATGTCGAGATCAAGGACTTTGAGGAGACAACAACGAAGGAAGAAATCCTCGAAGCTTTGAAGAAGGCTGCTGGAGACGGTTCCGGAATTTCGGTGAATGCGGTCAAGTCATTGCGGAAGGAATACGGAGGTACCCAGACGGCCTGGGTGAGACTTCCGGTGGCAACGACGACCAAAATCTTCGGAGAACACGGCAAAATCAAGGTCGGGTGGGTCAACTCCCGAATCAGAAGATTGGAGAGACCCCTGAAGTGCTTCAAGTGCTGGGACTTCGGGCACCTCTCCAACAAATGCCCAAGTTCGGTTGACCGCTCCAAAAGCTACATTAAATGGGGTGAAGACGATGATCTGCTCGCAAAATGCAAGAAAGACGCCAAATGCGTCCTTTGTGTCGCGAAGAGTCGCATGGACAACTGCGCTCACATTGCTGGCAGCGGTAGATGCCCAGTGTAGAAGGAGGGACTCTAGGCGTTATCCAAAAATAGACGATGAGAGTACTTCAGCTCAACCTTAACCACTGTGAGGCTGTACACGACCTGCTCCCACAATCGGTGCGGGAGCTGAAACCGGATCACGTAATGATCTCGGAGCCATACAAACATCTTAATGACCAGCCATAGGAGACGGACACCACCGCCAAGGACGTCATTTGGTCCTGCGGGGAATATCTCTTGCACAGCGGTGCCAACACAGCGGAAACGGGCTTTGTGAGAGCTAAACTAGGTGAGATTCACTTCTACAGCTGCTATGCTCCGCCTAGTCTGTCCATCGTCGAGTTTGCAGACTTCCTGAACCGACTAACCGAGGACTCGAAGCAGCACTTCCGCATAGCAATCGCTGGGGACTTCAACGCCTGGGCAGTCGACTAAGGCAGCAAGGAGACAAACGGAAGGGGTCAAACGCTACTGGAGGCCATGTCTTTCTTGGACGTGGTACTACTGAACAGGGGCGAAAAACCAACTTTTGAGCGAGGGGGGGCTATTTCAATCGTAGACCTCACCTTCATAAGTAGCCGCCTCACTAGGAGAAGCTGCAACTGGGAGGTGCTGGATATTTACACCACTAGTGACCGCCACGCGATCTTCGGGGAAGTATCCACCATTCAGAAAACTGAACCAGCAGCCAATAAGACTAACGCAGTTGCATGGAAGGCGAACGCCTTCGACTCCAGTAAATTCCGAGAAACATTTAATGATTGGGCGATCCGAGGAAGTAAGAGTAGAGTCACCGCAGCCTGCGATGTAACTATACCCGGGAAGCGTAGTGCAAACAAGCTTCCATCGATGTACTGCTGGAACAACATCATCGCCGCCCTGCGACAGGCTTGCATTGGAGCAAGGAGGCAGGCACAACGAGGCCGGAAGAAGCCAAACTACGAGGAACTAGGGATCAGGTACAAGGAAGCACGCCGGGCACTCAATAAGGCCATCAAGAGAAGTAAGAGACAGTGCTGGAATGAGCTCCTTGACGAAGTCGAGGCAGATCCGTGGGGGCGACCCTACGGCGTGGTCATGAAGCGGCTGAGAAGCTAGCCAATTCCATCGCCTACGTGGCCTATGCTTTTGGAGAAGATCGTAGTGGTACTGTTCCCCCAACAACTGGGGCTCGACTTCTTCACCGAGAAGTGCGATACAGAGGTGATCCCACCAGTGACACTCGATCAGCTGCTGGAAGCTTGTGGCAGATTCGGGAACGGAAGGCAGGAATGGATGGAATCCCGAACGTCGCCCTGAAGGTTGTGATCAACGCAGCGCCAGGAGCCTTCCTCAGTGTCTATAATGCCTGTCTGTAGGAGGGGATTTTCCCAATAAAGTGGAAGCAGCAAAGACTGGTGCTCCTTCCAAAAGGGAAGAAGCCACCACACTAACCCCCGTCCTATTGTCCACTCTGCATACTGGACACAGCCAGAAAAATTCTGAAGTGCATACTTCACCAGAGGATAGAGGAAGTAGTCGAACTATAAAAATGTTGAGTAGTGATGGGAACACAAAAATATCCCAGGTGGTAACCCTTCTTCAACAGGTAAATCCTATCATTGGTTCCGATCGGGTGCAAGCCCCGGTGGCTAATGCCGGCTCCTTGGATTCTGGGAAGAGCCAACCATCACACTTCTCAAAGGCGGACCACTTGGCCTCAGATACTACAAGTGGGGTGGAGTCATAGACTCAAAAGGTGACTGAAATCACGAACTCGAACGGAGGATCGAGACAGGAGCAGGCTTGGGACCGTCACGAGAAGCTCATTNAATGCCGGCTCCTTGGATTCTGGGAAGAGCCAACCATCACACTTCTCAAAGGCGGACCACTTGGCCTCAGATACTACAAGTGGGGTGGAGTCACAGACTCAAAAGGTGACTGAAATCACCAACTCGAACGGAGGATCGAGACAGGAGCAGGCTTGGGACCGTCACGAGAAGCTCATTGGAGATCTTCTGTCCCAGATAACGGACAAAACCAAGCGGACCATCAATGAAGGAATACGACAGCTCGCCAGGAGCATTCAAACTTCTGCAAAACGTCTCCGATCAATCTGTCAAGGTGCATCAGAGCAAGGGGCTACGCAGAAGATAAAACCTCATGAGCCAAAATCGAAGGACGTGGGATCACGAAGTGGGGTGCAGAATGAGCACCAGACCAAGAAGAAGAGAAATCGCGAGTCCCCGGGAACGGATCCTAACGCTCTGAAGTGGTCTCGACAGGAGACCACACCAATCCAACCGAAGCGGGTGTCGGAACCGCAGAGGGATGCAGGCAAACACCAGCAAATTGGGCCGGATAAATATGAGGTTCACGACAGTGAGGGCTGGCAGAAGTGGAAGCGTCGAAGGAAGAAATCTGAGCAAGCTCCTGAGTCGCTTCGGCAAAACCCAAGCCGGAAGCGAACCCAGAAGAAACCAGCGGTCAGGCCGAAAGCACTGATCATTCGCCCTAAGGAGAAAAAGATGTACTCCGAAATCCTACGGCGAGTGAAGAAGGATAGCGCTTGTGGTGTAGCTAGCGATTGCGTCGAGAAGATCAGACGCATGGCCGCAGGGGACATGCTGATTATCCTCAACAAGAAGGAGACCAATGGAGCTTCCCAGCTAAGATCAGTCATTGCTGACCTGCTCGGCCAAGAGGCCGACGTGCTAACCAAAGAGCCCCGGGAAGATATCGAAATCAAGGACATTGATGAGGATACATCCAAAGAGGACGTCCTTGAGGCCCTACAGAGAGCTGTAGGTGAGGAACACCAATTGGGTCCTGAGACCATCCAATCTATGCGCAAAGCATACGGTGGAACTCAAACTGCCTGTTTGACCTTCACGTCAGCTGCGGTGAAGAAGATCCTGGGAGAGGACGATCACGAGAAGATCGGCTGGGTAAACTGCCGCATACGTAGAGTACAGAGGCCGGTCAAGTGTTTCAAGTGCTGGCACTACGGACATCTCGCCAGCAAGTGTAGGAGCGCAGTCGATCGGTCGAAACTCTGCGCAAGATGTGCAGGCGATGGCCACAAGGCCAAGGAGTGTCAGAAGGATCCTCGGTGCGCCCTATGCGCTGAAGATGGGAAAACGGAGAATTGTGGACGGTGCGTGAGCTGAAGGCTGACCTTGTCATGATTTCTGAGCCATATCGAGATCTTGGCACTCAATCCTGGGTCACAGACGCCAGCAGAAAGGCTGCGATCTGGGCTTGCGGGAACCGGCCTTTCCAACACATCAGCAGTAACACGCAGAGTGGTTTTGCTATGGTGAACTTTGAGGGAATCCATTACTACAGCTGCTATGCTCCACCTAGTCTCCGCATTGATGAGTTCACAGACTTCCTAGATAGGCTGACTGTGGATGCTAAGCAACACTTTCCCGTGGTGATAGCTGGAGACTTCAATGCCTGGGCAGTTGACTGGGGCAGTAAGGTAACAAACGCTAGAGGACAGACTTTACTGGAAGTGCGGAGTTCTGCCAAACATCAACGGGAACTTTTGGCAGTGATACGTAACACTGAAGACAACGAGGATGCCGAATGGATCGATGAAGACTTAATCGTTCAAGATGATCTCCGGGTACCGGATTTCTCCAACGATGCTGAAGCAACGCCACTCATTTCGATCGAAACCCATCTATGTATAGCCCATGGGAATAATTATTTTAAGTTGTTTTCTGTTCCTGAAACTATCCCAAAGTTGGCAAAGAGAAACTCCGAATGCTGTGATAGTAAAAATAGCATTACAGTAGACTCCCACTAATTGTCGCTCGGCGAAACCAATGTCGATCGCAGTTCCGCGAAAGCGACACTTAAAAACGGCCCCCACTCCGCGCACCGATTCCCCGAAATTTAAAGGGACTAGTGGTAATATGCATGTGGAGAGGGGATTTATTTTATTCGTGTTCTTCTCGTTTAGTTTATGGAGATGGAAATAACTGAGCGCGTGACACGATTAGGGGCGGAGTTTAGGGAAAACTACAAGGAATCGAGGCGTGCGAGCGGGGGATATTTACGTTCCACGACAAACGCTCGAAACCGAGAAATTCCCGGAATACCGACAGTTAACGGGAGGACAGTTATCGAGAGTCTACTGTAGAATGAAATGAATACTTCATTTCTCACGTAATCTTAGGTTTTTTTCCCATCCTTGTTGTTAAAATCCCATTTCTTAGAAACAAAAATCGACAGGATGGGAGGGGGTATATGTGTATCGTCTCGCTACACATACACCAACACACGCACGGATATGACACGCTGAGAGATGACTGGACATTGGTGACCTCAACGTGATCTGACTAGGGAAGTTTGACGTTTTATCGACAAAAGTGAAAATCGACTCGCGACCACGCGCGTGCAAGTTACATTGGAAGTGCAGTCTCGCGTCCCCGTGTTCTAATCCCTATCTCTAACTAACGCGTGTGACACAGCCTTCCGAGTGCCGCGTTAAATCTTGCGAGTGCAATAATAACTCCCCGTGATTGAAAATTCATCAATTTCATCGCGTGGATAACCAACGGCATTTTCATCGGCGTCTCGAGGCTTATAGAATCTTCGAAGCACCCGAGCGTTAATCGTGATTTCGTAGTGTCTTTGTGAAACCAAAACAAATGCCTGTCTTAGTGCTATATTTATTTTTCACACCGGCACATTGCCGAGTACCAAGGACGTTGTACTGTGCTGGTGACTACAAAGACTTATAATGCTTTTGTCTCGCGTTTCATATTCGTCGATTTTATTCTATTTCGAATAAACTGTGGAACGATAACAACCGCGCAAACACAACAACGGTAACGACTGGTCAACACAAGTAGCTGGAGGACAATTACACACAGGCATGAGGGAGAGAAGAAAGTAACCTCATGCCAACCACTCCGATGGCAGCGTTGAGAACCTCGGGCCGATTCACCGCGCTCATCTCCGCCAAGCATCGTCGAGGATCGATACGTAGTGCAGGCTACATCATCTCTACCACCAGGAGGACCCAAG